AAGCAATCGGCCGCTCATGGACACCCACAACACCAGTGGACTTACGAGTTTATGTCAGGCTTTTGGAGATTAGAATTTCGGAGATTTAAGGAAGGGGGAAAGGATGAAGGATTATACCTCCGGCAGCGTCACTCACACGGCGAAACACAACGCTGTGGTTGCTTTACGCCGGTTTTACATTACAAAAGGCATATCGAATAGTAGGTGTTAGCGCGTTTTTAAAGATCCTGTTCTATTATAAATTCGAAAGCGTATAAACATTTTTAATCTCATCTACATATGAGATACCACGTACTCTCACGCGTTTTCACCCGCTGCTCGGCTCCAAATGATCGTAGCGTAGCGTGAAAGAATTTTGGCAATTCGATCAGCGGTTCCAAAGATTACCCCCTACATATAAACTTACAAATTTTACCTCTTTATAATATAAGTAACTAATAAAGTAAATATGCGTAACACTGACCACTAGATCAGACAAAAATGATTTTGCGTCAATGTAAAATTTTGCTTTATATATTTAACATTACATTTCTATATCCATAACTATAATTGTTCCAAATTACACATTTATCAAACTTACTTCTACCCAATAAACAAATTGAATCTAATTGAATATTTAATTAAACTCACTACCTTACAAATTGTAGCTGTAATCATACTCGAAAATTGATCTATCATGTTAATTTAAAAACCCATTCCATATCCGTATCACGGTCATCGCTGACAAGGTTTCATTTACAACAAATATTTCATGGTACCTAAAAATTTTCCTGTAATTTTCTAATATAATTAATTATTTGAAATATTTGAGTATTCCTTTTTATATTTTATTTTTTTAACTATGTCCTACACTATATTTTTCTCTTGTGTCGTAAGTGCGTTTAAAAACATACAATTTGACTTACACATCACACCCAGACCCGGAACAACAAATTTTGAGAGTTGTTCCGTGCGGGAATAGAACTCGCGACACGTTGCTAGGCAACCAGTTTCCCAGCCAACCGTGCAGTCAAAAATTTCAATCACCTTCCATCTTTTGGGTAATACGCAATAATAATTCATCTAAAACGGTACGCAATGACATGACACTACACAAATTTTTGAGTAGCTTTTGACACAGAAACAGCTGACAAACGTTGTGTGGATAAGAATCGGGGAAAGTTAGGCCACGGGCACGTGCAATACTAGTACAAAATAGATTTTTAAAAAGATAGCTATAATAATATTTTAGCTGTTTATATGTCGTAAGCAGGTAGCGTCGACGGACCGTCCGCCACCTCCTTGGTAAGACATTGACCTGAAAACAATTTAAGTGTAACAGTGTTATAAGTACTAGTGTGGCTTTGTTCGAATTGTGTAAGACGGCTCGTTTGCGCTGAGTAATAACAGTCCTCGACAAAACAAAACCACTAAACATGAACACTCATTTCACTTCAATAGCTATGTCATGTATATTATCAACACTATACAGTAATTTAATACAGTACTTACAGTAAGAAAATTAAATTAAGCACAAGGTGGACATGTCGCATGATACTTTATTAGTTGCGAAAAATAGGTTGCAAGTACTTGGAGTAAGTCGTTCAAATAATATCGTCACTGTTAGTTACTGTATCCTTTGAGTATGAAAGATCTATGATGATTCGGCAAGAATGACCGCCCGGACCCCACTTTGATCAAAGACCTACAGACACTAGCGTGAACCAAAGCTTGCGTTGCGTTATGTTTCGCCATGTGCTCCAAATTCTCAAATAGGCAATAACCTTCAAAAGGTCGGAAACACCCTTTTTTTAGTGAGGCGAAAATCATCCAATGACTTCTCCCGCCCAGGGTAAAATGAGAGAGAGTGTCAGACTTACTGACTAAAAACACCCCCGTTCCTTCCCCTGCTCTGGGCCGATGCCGCGGTGACTCATTGCGCTGAACATCAGCCCTATACGGCCCCGTCTGTAGTGGTCTATTGGCCCATTGAGGCGCGCGCGGAACGCTACGCGCCGTACGCTCGGGTCTGGTTCTGGTCGGGCGGCGAGCTACCCTTAGTCGCCGTCCGCAGACCTTCGCTTACGGTGGCCGGAGATCATCTCTTGCTGCTCCTTTGGTGCAGCTAAATCTCCATTGGCGGTGCCGTTTGCTGGTTACCATCAAGTAATCCGGAGACCGGTTACCGCAACATTTCATAAAAAATGTGATGTTCAAGACTCAAGAATCAGTCTCTTAAGTAAGATACAAAAACAAATTCTTTCTCATTATTCAACGTAACTGAATTTGTATTGACCGTGCAAGTACTTATTTAATTACTCTTTCAGTCAGTCTTTATTGAGACATAGCAACTTGTTTATTTAAATTATACAGAGTGTTCCATTACAGATTGCAGTTCATAAACCACTTAGGAGGTAAATATTTTTTGCTTACTTCATTAAGCGCTATGTTGTGCATAACAATTATGTTGTTTGGCTATTGACGAAATTAATAGATACCTTTGCCTAAGGAAAAAGGTTAATGTTCCGAGTTTAGGATAACCAATCATTGTAGAACATAAAGCCACCCGCGTTACTATAATTGGACCAATAAAACGATCAAACACCGCAATGTCAATAAAACCTTTTAAACCGCGGTTCGAGAAAATGTTTGTAATTTAGCCTTTTAAGGGTTTGTAATAATTAGATAACTGCAAGTTTATGTATTCACTGCTGCATAATTAAAATTCAACGCAACAGTGAAATAGCATAAAACATGTTTAATGATCGATTGACTAAGGGCTGATTTTTCAATGGTTCGATAAAAGTTATCTGGAGAATAATTATGATGCTGTCGTGTCAGAATGTTTGAATAAGATTGTGACAGCAATAATTTTATTCCTCAGATAACATTTATCTGACTATTGAAAAATCAGCCCTAAAGCTTTAGAAATAAAATTATTAAAAAACTAAGCATTCGCTATTTAAATTGATCAAAAACAAGGAACAATGCAAACATTTTCTATTCGAAAAGAATAAGGCAACCGCAAAGTTAAATAAAAATGTTAATTGCCATTTTACCAAAATTATATATCACTAAATTTGTTTATGTATATTAAAGAATACACATATACAATTAAAGAATCACAGAATACCGGCGTGAAACAACCCACAGCGTTGAGTTTGGCCGTCACTCGTAACCCCTTTGGTGTTGCGGGTGTCCATGGGCGGCGCCGATTGCTTACCATCAGGTAATCCGTCTGCTCGTTTGCCGACTTATACCATAAAAAAAATAAGAATATGAACACTTCGCGCTGCACTTACAACTTATCGACAAACGTGTTGCAAAGTGTAATACAATAGTCATTACGTCCCGTTTATAAAGATTTTATATTTAACAAAAACATTGTCAACCTGGGGCTAGTGTAAATGTAAAGTGTTACCCAAGACGATTTGTCGCATATTGCATACACGTGAGAATATGCAAGTATCTCGAGAAAGAAACGCGACAATGAGATACATATGAGAACAACTGGCATGTATAAATTATTGCCAACGCCTTGGCGAATTGAGAAATGAGTAGTAAAACTGGCAACTAAGAAACATAGTTCTTAAAAACTTACTTAGGTACAAGGTAAATTTTACGACGTATTTTCAAGAATCTCAATTCTTTTTTCTTGAACCAATAAACACTGTTCGGTTTTTAAAATCTATGCCCTACTAGATTTTGTGAAACATACGTTAGCATACATTTATTTATTTTATCTACGAAAGTAAACCCATTTATAATATAAAAACGTATACCAAAGTGTGTTGGTAGGGCGCATAACTCGAAAACTCCTGAACCAATTTTGCCAATTATTATTTTGTTGTGAATCGTTATTGCCAGCAGAAGGTTTATATGAAAGATAAATTTAGAAAAGTGGAGAGGAAAATCTGGTAATGGCCTCCGGTTAGACACCTGCGAGAAGCTGAGGCAGGCGGCTAGTACATTTAAAAAATAAAGTACATATAGTTTTGATATGTTGGAATAAAACACGTAGATACCAGAAGATATAATGAAAGTTTATATAGAAGGTTTTCTAAAAATTGTGTAGCAACAAAAATATATAAGGTAAACCATTAAGGTCGTCCTTCCGATCAGGAAACACGGTCATTGGGCTAATTGAATGCGATTAAATACCTTACCTAACGAAACACATAATAACATACTATTGGTACCGAAACAAATGCTTTGAAAATGCTTTAATTACTGCACTAACAAATACCGTGCAACTCAAATACTTTGCCCATTCAATACCACGAATGTTTCAACGAAATTGTATAAAGGTTGAGCAAAAAATAAACGCTGTGAATGGATTTATGAACTAAATACATTTAGAACATATTGTGCGTTACTTCAAATCTTTTCTTCACTTTATAAATAGAATATAGTATTTTATGATAATGCACGAGTAATACCCAAAATATACATATGCAATAAATTCATAGCGGTCAGCATTTTTTCGCAACACAATTATATTTTTTATTCCAATTTTTATTTTCGTGAAACATTTTGTTGCTGAATTAAAACTTACTTTTTATTTACACGGTGTAGGACAATCAATTGCTGGTGCTGCTACGAAAAGAATTACAGTCTCACTTTCTTTGGAGTAGTTATTTTTACAAGCAAAACGAAATCTGAATTGAACTAAACATGAACCCAACAAATCAACTAAAATTGCCCATTAGGAATCATTGCACAAAACTTTACAAAAAAGGCAATATTTTAGTTATGATGTTTACAGCTTATCAGTGCATATTTCAACTTTACATCCGTTCTATTCATCGGCATTGATCGCCGTATGTAGGTACTTAAGTGCATACTTCCACAGTTACGTTAGGGCGCTTAGGAAACCCTGTGAAATTGATCAATGGATTTTTGCTCCAATAATTCCCACAATTAAAACCTCTATATAAACTAATGAACCAAACCTTACACAGTATTGTCTTTACGAATTCATAACGTGAGCATTAAGTGCTAAGTTCTGTGTTTAATTAATCATGTTTACCAAAGTAAGTGTTTTTTTAATTGCTATTTAAGTTATACGTGTAAAATAATTTATACAAAATCGAAATTTATTAGTACTTAATCCATTTGTTGATTCCCTTTAATGTATCATATATATCATATGGTAAATCGAATACAATATTTTTACTAGGTATATAAAATATGTAATTTAATTTGTAATAATTTAAAAATCAACGCTTATAATTTAAAATAACGAAGTATGTTTTATTTGAATTAACGTTATTAATGGGTTTTCCCGCTATATTCCTTGAAAAGAACATTAACAATACGATAATTATTCAATTATTGCTTACTTAACCTCGTATGTAATCCTTCATTTCCATATTTTCTGTATTGTGTATTATCGCATCGTCAGTGACCTAAAATGTGTAACAATTAACCACCATACCAAATTATATAACGTTATTATTTTTTATTAACCTCGCGTTGTTATAATTTGAGTTATTTAGGTACTGTAATAATGTTTTAGTCTATTAAATCTAGACCGTAAGACAATTATTGAGTGATAGACTGACTGCAATGATAATAAAAAAATGCGAATAGTTTGAATGTGTTAACTACAAATAAATGTCTTAAAAATAATTTTATTAAAATATATCTTCAGTACATAAAAATTATATGAAAAATGGACCATCTTTAATTCCAGGTGCTGACGTTATTCGCGGTGGTGTCTGCCTGCCAGGCAATCTTCCCGCTGCACCACCACCACCACCACCACCCAGCCATTTCCCATCAAGAAATACACAAACACGATGGCCCACACCACCCTATACCCATTCATCACCACGTTCCCATCCCAATCCACCACCACGTGCCGCTGCTTCACCACCATGTACCTGAACATCTCCCCATCCATCACGTTCCTCACATTCCTCATATCCCTCACCATGACCACTATGTAAGTATTGAAGTTAAATGTTAAATTTTTTCTACTTTCCTTTTTTATGGATTGAAGAGTGAGGTAGGTATATCTCGTCTTTTCCGAACGCAGATTCAGTTATTTAAAAAACCTCGAGGTGAACGTTGTCCTGAACAAAACATTTAATAATGCCTCGTTTTCGAAAACCCGGTATCATACAACTGAGAAACATTATTTGCTATCCAGATTTGCGGGTACCGCAAACCCACCAATGATAGGATAAGGAATAGGGTAACTTTTAGACAGTAAGAGTCTGAAACTCCCACTCGCCCACCTAGGATGGGTGAAGTCTTTGGTGATTACCATCCCTTCAAGAAATTGGAATACAGTAATACACAGGTTGCGAAATTGGAATACAGTAATACCCAGCTTGGGCAACCGTGCAACGTATCGCGTGGTCCTATATTGTGATTCCAGATGGAACCGCTTCATGTGATCTACAAATTGTTGTTTAGAATTTAGGCATGATGTGTATGTAAAGTTAATTAAAACTTCGTTTTATATTCCTTATTAGAAAAATATTTATTATAATGAGAATATAGGCTCTATTCATTGACTTAACTATTTAAAACTAAAATGTAAACAAACAAATATTTCTTGCTAATATCAGTGCAACATAAATTATTCAACAAATTCCCCGAGGAGTAATTGCACGGTAAAGTATTCCGTGAAGCAAGCGAAAGGTCCGTGGTTACATTACTCTGACCACTTCCTGTATACAGTCCAGTTTTTACGAGTTAATATATAGTACTAGTAATATACATACTTACCAAACACCTATATATGCCTTAAGATTGAAGCATTTTAATGTTGCATTGAGTATTTCACTCGTAAGTTTTCTAGAGATACACAAAAGGTATTTAAAATGGTGACTTGCACCAGCAACAAATGGCATGTTAATAAACCAAATAATAATCATTGCTTTTTTTCCTATTTGTAAACGTTGTCTTTCCGTAAAAATAAATGCGTTTTAATTTTTTGTAATAGGACAAAGTAATGATAACCATAAAAATATTACATCTATAATAATATCCTGATTCTCATTTAACTCAGAATTTCCAGTATACATAAAAAATGCAATTAAAATTCACATTTATTATTGTCCCAGGCATTCCCCGAATACAAATTTGCGTACTCCGTGCACGACCATCACACTGGTGATGTGAAGTCTCAGCATGAACTGCGTCACGGAGACATTGTGAAGGGAGGATACGAGCTAGTTGAACCCGACGGCAGATTCAGGAAGGTGGAGTACAAGGCTGATGACCACACCGGGTAAACAGATTTTTTTTTAAATGTTTTCTCTAATATACTTAATATTTGATCTGAATTAATTAATATTACAGTCTGTTAAACCAAAGTCTGTTTGCATTTCGGCAAATTATGATACAGAAATAAGTTGTTTTTGTAGTGCTAAACATCAATCATTGTTCAAGGAAAATTAGATTTAGGACCTGCTCAATCGGAGGGTCAAAACTTTCGATATGGAAAAAAGTTTTCCCCTTTTATAAAGAAAAACGTAACTTATATTGTAAAAAAATAATTGCTTCAATGTTTATTACAGTTTCAACGCCATCGTCCATCACTCGTCGCCTCATCATCATGTTCATCTTGCCCATCACCACCACCTTTAAACGTGACGTCACTCATACAACCACTACTGAATGCTGCTCAAACAAGACTGACTCGATATCTTTTGTAATTGTTAATGCAAATCGCTGCTTTCGTACGCAAATTAAATTAGCGCTAATTTTTATTGTTGTTTTTTTTTCGTTCTTTGCCACTAGAGGTTCAAGTGCCCGATAAACTTGAACCTTTTCAATGGCGATCTAACATTATCCTACCAAAGTGTGAAGATCGGAAACATAGTTTACTGCCTGTTTGTTTTACATAACATAACTTTGTAACACTCACTCCAATTACAAAGCAATTGAGAATAAGTATTTCTGAAAATTTTCACACATTATCAAAGTCTATACACCCTGTAAATTCGTAAAACGCGATCGTAGAGTACTTTCTGCGTTTATTTGGACATCACTGACAAACGGAGAAGAAAAACAATGTGGTTCAACCTCAACTTATAATTGCTGAATATAAGTTTGAAATCGCCAATTGGACTCGAACAAGAATACTGATTAATACTCAAACCTTCATACTAATCATGAATAAAAATCCATATGAGAAGACGCCTTTTCTTTTCAGTGATGATGTAATGCGTATGTAATTAACATACTTAATTTTTTATAGAAAACAATAAAATGACAAAATTTAATTAATTTACGTTACTAATACTAGGACTACAGTAGCCCTGTTTAAATTTTACACATAGTATCAGAATTGAATAATTTTTTGAAAAAATTGCCAAAAATTTCGAAAAATGTTTCATGTGATCATCAAAATGATCATAATATGAAGCAATTTAAAGGACTAAAGCTTTGTCTTGTTCCTAGTTGTGATAGGAATATGATATTAGAATAGCTTATGGAGGCAGTAGAATACTGTCTTCCAGCGAAACGCCCCTGCACCATCGCCACTTTAATGACAAGGAAAAATAAAGCAATCTCGTTTTGAAGTTACCAAGGCTAGTTTATAGTATTTTAATTTTTAATAATTTCTAATTAAGACTTAGAGTATTCTAAAAAAGAATATGGTACTTACATTTTAATTGTTACAATTTAGATTAATCAAGACAGCGGCAGGGTTGCACTATTATAAGCCGGAAAACTTAGAAATTATGGCAAACCCTCTTGTGCAGAGAATATCATTACAGTTACAATAGATAAATTAATAAATGAATTATCTCACAAGTCACGATGTAAATGGTTCATATTACAATCATTCACAAAACCAAAATTAAGGTAAATCTATTAGAGATACAGTTTTGAAACAAAAAACCATAACGAAAAACGGTTAACTGGATTTTTTCACAGTTTGTCTTTATTTACTGTGAGTTGTCCTACGCATTACCTTATAGCAAGTTGCTAGATGTTATTTCTTTGCAATCACTACACAGTACATATACACACAGTCACATTTGCTATAACTATATGTGTAGGCGCAAATATGTATCGGTTAAAGATAAAAAATTGGATGTGGTCAAAATCAACAATTTAAAAAGAAATTTTGTGTTGTGATGTCATGTTTTTTATGGCGACAAATTGGATTCTTATTTCCATAAAAAATGTTAGATAGGTATCTATGTACGAATGTTACGCATAGGTTAACTACTATTGATAAATTGCAAGTGTGGCTTTAATGTATTATTTCATTGTAAAGTCGTTTTTTATGGGAAAGGATTACCGGATAAAAGATAATAGCGAAGATATAGTAGATATATCAGCAATCGACCACGCCAATGGACATTCGAAATACACCGAAACAAAAGAACTCGATTATTGAATACAATAAACTTACCAAAGTAGTTAGTTACTGAGTATCTATGTATAAGTGCGTTGCCCGGCTTTTGTGGGTTATTGGGGATTTAAAGATGGTGGGGGGAGGCGAAAGGTTCACGTACACTGCAAAACCCAAGGAGTGTTGTTTCACGTCGGTATTAAGTGAGGCCGTAGTATCACTCCGGGTGAACGGTCTAATAGCACCGCATATCTTTTGGTTTAATGTTACATTTCCTACATTGTGATATATAATTTTAGTCGCTATGAGTTATATGACTAACTACAATGGAGACATACTTTCCCTTTTAATTACGTATACTATAATCCTTATTTATCAGACAACTAGTTCAGGCACAAATCCAAACATTAAAATTTAAAAATCAAACAAAGTAAATACAGATCCTATTGACCGAGGTCTACAGCTTAAACCACCTCAATCGAGACACCTAAAGCTGTGATTTCTAATTAAATCTTAGTGACAGGACACTATTTTGAACAAATAATAATTTATTTCATAAACAAATAGTAAAAGTGTATTACAGACAAAAACAGTATAAACACGTTCAGTAACATTACTTTCTCCAGTAGGAACTCATAGCCAAAACAACCATGCTACAAAACTGCTAGTAAATCCAGTGTTTGTTATTCTTCATTAATTATTCTTAGTAAGATAATTAAATTATTAATAGAAAATATAAGTTTACTCGCGTGAAAAATTGAGGAAAGTGGTGACGCGCACATACTGATCATGAGTAAAAATCCAGTGGATTCGAAACAAGTAGAACTTTTCTCATTTACAAGCAGTGAATAGCAAAACAATTAATTAAGGATATATTATTTTATTATTAAGATAATATATGTATATATAAAGTAAGCATCAAGTACTTACATAAAAATGTGAAAAAAATCTTATTTTAAAAAAAAATATTAAGTTTCATAAAAAAACATTATAATGTAAAATATGAACAAAACTCCACAATATGTACAAATTTAATTTAAAAAAGTTTCAGCTCAAAGATATTTACAAAAACAATGTAAAAAAAAGTCAAATATAATTCTTTTCAATTAGACCCTTACAGGCACTTTTGAACGTCAAACAAAATTTTAAAGATATTAAGTGTTAGTCTGTCGGTCAGTCCTCTTAATGAAGCTATTTGCTCGTTTCAAAGTGTAGATTCCGATGGATAAGAACGAGCAAGAAACTCCATGGTTACTCTTTTTAAATCAGTGTCACATAAAGATTCTTTGATACATTATTTAGTTGGTTTGATTATGTGAGAACAGTGTAATGCTAATATACAGAGAAACATAAAAAGAAAATAACCTTAAGGACAATATACAGTCCGGAGCTGACCAGTCCCAAGCTGAGCAGACCAGTTGTAATTTTAAAGAAATTGAAAAATGGGTCTTAAAGAAGTTGTGTGATAACATTACATTACTTATGAATTAATTTAAACCGTATTTATTGAACCTATCGTATTTATTCGATCTATATATTATTTTATTCTTTTGTGTATATGCGCACCTTGAACCACATCACACATTTAAAATGTAATGTAAGGTCACACGCCACGATCTACAAAAGTCTGGAAAATCTTATTTCCTTTTCATAGCATTGATCGGCACACCCATCCATAAGTCGATAAAAATCTTGCAAAAAATCACAAATAATTGATGTTAAGTGTATTGTATTACAGGATATAGATGTTTAGAACCAAAACGATATCTGTATAAATAGTTGATGAGATCACGATAGACATCATTCGGTTCAGGGATTCACTAAAGGTTCACGATGATTCGTAAGGTACGTTGTCTGCATTTGTACTCTTTTGTCTAAAAAAAAAGTGTTTTTTTGTAATTTCAAACAAAAACTATTTTTTTGTAAAATGGGAAATTCATTTTTATACCAAAAAAAGGAAAATTGTTAGTCCAAATCAAACACGATAAGCATCAATAGTAATCAATACTTATTTGTGAGGTACATTTGAGATCAAGTTTCGTGATCTTAATGTTGTTTAAATTAAGCTTCTCCCAATTTCATAGTATATTATAAATTAAAAGTTGTTCTATCCACTGCTAAAAATCAAGAGATGTGAAAACTCTTTATATCTTACATCTTCAATATATTCTCTGATTAATTTAATTGCTTACTTGCTTCATAATCATCATGTGTATGTTGAAATCCCTGTGATATATCAAGCTTAATTCGTATAACCTTTTCTGATTGGACACTATTTTAAATTGTGACTTACTTATAGTCACACAAGTTAGGAATGTGTGGTAGTCTTATTTTCAAACTAACAACTAAGAAACATAAAATTTTATAAATTTGATATTTTCAGACAATAATCCTTCTGAGCCTTGCACTGTGTGTGCTTGGCGATGGACATCACGCGGTTTCAGAACAACATATAAAGATATATCACAATGAACATCACGGGCATCATGGGGAGCTATCACATATTGGTTCCCATAAGCCTGAGCATCATGAAGAATACGTGAGTATATGTACATTACACTCACACACAAAGGCACACCTTTTCTACAATAAGAGTCCTAATTCTCCTATGATGAATCAGACCGTAACAATTTCTTTAAGCTTATTTGCGATTTCAAGTCGATAATTTTTATTTTATTTACTAATTGATTACGTATGTTAATTGTTTCAGGCGTGGTCGTATCCATCATATGAGTTCTCATACAGTGTGCACGATCCTCATACACATGACAAGAAAGGTCAGAAAGAGTCGAGAGATGGAGATGTAGTAAAGGGCGAATACTGGCTGATACAACCCGACGGTCGCAAGCGCACCGTCACTTACCACGCGGACAAACATAGCGGGTCAGTCTATCACTTTATTCTTCAGCTATCCAAATAGAGTATTTATTGTATTTTTAAATTCATACTATCTAATTTAGAAAAGGTTTCAGAAATATATAATAATTAAAGCTTCTTTTTATTTTATTCTCAGTTTCAACGCTATCGTCCACTACTCGGACAAACACAATGACATCGTTGAACATCACGGTTTCCACGACTACTCAAAAGAAGAACATAAGGAAGACAAAAAAGAAGATAAAAAAGATAGCAAAGAAGAGAAGAAAAAGGAAAGCAGTGAAAGCAGCGAAAGTAGCGAAAGTAGCGAAAGCAGTGAAAGTAGCGAAAGTAATGAGAGTAATGAAAGTGGAGAGGAACAGGGACGTGATGGTGAGGAGAGCCGAGGTAGACCCACCGGTGTCATAAGTTGGGGATACGGCCCCAGCTGGGACCATGGCAAGGAACTCCAGCTAAAACCAAATGTTCACGACAGACGGGGTTACAATATCCGTGGCTATTCCCCACGAGACGACCGAGCCCAGGAGGAGAGCAAGCTTATGGAGGAGCGTCGTAAGTTTGACCAGCGACGTGGCTACCCACAACTAATTCAACCATACGCCGCCCGCATCAATGATCGTTTCCACAGACACAACCAAATGCGTAAGACCGACCGTCAATACTAAACTATTTCATAAAAACGTGCATTGTTAAACAAAGACTGAACAGTGGCTATGTAATAATGGTATCTGTTAAATATTTTTAAATGATGTATTGTTAACAATAATTATTATAATCGTATTAATGCAAATGCTAACCTTATTAAAAGGATTGAGCGCTTATTATTGTGTTATCCTTTTTGATACCTTAATGCAAACATCCGTTGCAATAATCTCAGCAATTAACACGAAATGTTATAAAATCGTTCGGAGTCACGTACGTCAATCAAGTGCACGACTATGTTGGTGTGCACCAATTATATACACAGACTAAGCAAACAGTGCTACTGAATTCGTACAGAACATAGTTTTTTATAAATATATACCTGAAAAACCCACTTTCGAATTATCTCGTTAACAGGATACAAGTCAGTACTATCCATGCTAACGAGGAAAATCCGTGAGTTAAAGTGAAGAAAAAATCTAATATTGAGATCTCCATTCATTAAAATGATAATAATATGCATACCTACGAGTACTAAATTAACCAATCAGTTGATGTTATAATAATTATGTAGTATGCGTGTAACAAAGATGAAGATTTAATCCTAATTAAAATGTCCTCTATAACCCAGTACCCCTAAATGAGCGAACTAATAAAGGTACAGTTGAAATGTAACTAAAAATTCAATTCCCACAAATTGATTTCCAATTGAATGTCTTTGTTAAGAAAAATGTTACTTTATGTGAGTGAAGAAGAACGTTAGACGGTGTCTACATAAATTTTCAATGCTAAGCGCTACGTAGCTTCGTAGTAGTTACGTAGCGTCGTAGCGGGTCGTGGTCGAAAATCGTCCTCATCGATTATGATTTAAGTTCTAAAAACTATTTACACACTTAATAGATGGTTAATTGGAATTGTTGCTGTAAAGCTGGCAACACTGGATACGCGCCGCGAATATCCGCCGCAACAACTTCACTCTTCTCAAAAACCAACCGCTCGGTAGACGCAAGCATATTTTGTTATATCGCAATTCAATTCAAAATTCAATATTGTAACCGCAACCCTAAATACGACAGCATTATTTAATTGGAGTCAGCTTTTCATTATATCCATACTAAACAGAATAGTTAATAATAGTAACTTTATATATATCTAGCACAGTGTAGATATCTTTCATATTACCTTGAATCAGATTGAAATCGACTTAATACAACAATTGGATGGTTTGTAAAAAAATCTTATTTATTGTCTACATAACAAACTTGAGTTATAAGGTTTATTCTAGATTATAATATCAATACGTTTTTGGAAATATATTCAGGTCAGCAGAACTTCGTTTAACCTAAAACAAAATTTATCTAAACCAATTCGTTCTCATATTGTTCATTCTCTAATATTGAAATTATACACCAAATATGTTCAAACGTGAAATGACCACTCAGCTAGCATGGTATTAAATTAAACAACAGCTCGTGAAAAGTTATTTATATCACACACAATACACAGCCTTCTCAAATGAGGATATGACTAGACTATGTGAAAATATTGGAAATTTATTAAAAAAGGAGCTTAAAACTTTAATATCATTTAAAGAACAGGCGAGAGGAATAGCTTCCTATATCCCTCAGAAGCATTTCTGTTACTTTACACATTTCACGGTCCATGGTCTCCCGGTGCAAAACTAATTATTTTTCTGATTCTTGTCAGCCATCTAGAAACCAACACAATTGTTCGCCTGGGGTTCCTTAAGTACCACGGCAACATAACTCTGTCCCAAGCTGGTACTAAACAGTGCGATAATTTTGTGGTTCCTGGTTCCATTTCCATCTCCAAACATCTTTACACTAAAAACTAACTAAACTATTCTTGATTCACTACGATCTCCTTTCCCTTATATATCTAACTTATCGCATAATACAAAAAAAAACCTTTACTAGTACAGTTAACTAATTACTCGGCATTAAATTGTCTAAAAAGATATTGAAGTTGTAAATGAAGTTTCTTGATTTATTAGTTATTACACAAAAGTAATTAGTATATTATTAAGTATGCTGCAGCCAATCGGATAAAGCCACGAGCAATGCGTAATGAAGAATGCGTCAAGTCAAAGCTGAATCATACATAATTCACATAGGTTCAATGTTGGCATGTCCTGCGATATTGTTATAAGTATATTTTAAATTGATCAGTAGCATGAAATGATCGTTTTATTCATATTATATGAATATAAAGATGATTATGTATCTATGAGTACAACCAAAAGCAGTCAAGATATGCCAAAATAAAATAAAGTTATTTCTTTAACACACATAGCTTGGAATTGAGGTATCTCTCCTCTCTCCCTCTTCCATAACTGAGGCTACTTTTTTAAAGAATGCGTATTAGGTGCTCAACCCTATTTTGAGGTGGGAACATCCAATGATATGTCGTCTCTTGAGTGTCAGACTCTTACTGACTAAAAACCACCGCGTTCTTTCTCCTGTTTCCTGTTTCTGTTACGTCATTGTGCTTGCAACAGCAATTGCGGCTGGACATCTGCCCTATTGTGCCACATATGTGATGGTTTGACGGCTCTTGAAGGCGCGCGTGACACACGACACTCTCTTTGGTCGGACGGTGAGCTAGCCTTGCTCGCTGACCGGAGACCCGTGCTTATGGCGACCCAAGATCGTTGCATGATCCTTGATACACACACTGTCTTTTGCGGCAGCTGGGGCGTGAAGTGGATTATCCTCAAATCAAATTAAAATATTTATTTGCATGAAATGCATAGTTTACAAGGAAAGATCTCGCGCCCCCTTCTTTACGAGTATAATTACATAGCAAAAGGAGGAAAAGGTTCCCCAGATTGCCATCAATCACACCTTGTACTCTAGGTGATCCTCAGAGTGACGATACCCAAACATGTCCTCCCGCTACATCCGAAACAAATATTTCCCTAAACTTCCGCGTCCGTTAAGCACCTGCGTCAGGTGGAAGGTTAGGACGCCGTGGTTGACGGTGGTGGACGATTCAAGCTTAGAAGTAACAGTTACGTCTAGTTGAAAAACAAACTCATCAAATAAAAAATTTATCTTCTCTTTAAACGTTTCGAAAACTTGGTTTCATTGTTTACTTTTGTCATTAATAACAAAATAATTATATTTAAACTGCCTATAATATCGATGCTTAAAAATGATTTATTACATAAACCTAAACCCAACTAAGTAAATATAATATACTCCGGCCAATAGCGTCGAGCCACGGGCGTAATAACAGAATTAATATGTAGTTAATGAAAATTTGGTCAAGAACGAAACGGTTATTCAAATGGATTCTGCCAATAGCTGATTTTTCTTTTCTTTTTCAGTGTCTTTTAAATTAATAACGTACACAAACACTTTGTAAGTAGTGAACTGTTTAATATAAAGATAAGATACTATTTTCAAATAATTACAGGTCAGCTTTAAAAATAGTCCTATTATTGATGAACTCAGCCGGGACTGCTGAACATTGTACTGCGGCCTTAGCCTGGAGCAGGGAAGTAACTAGATATTTTTTAGTTAATAAGAGGCGATGCAAAAAACGTAGATGAGCTTATGATGAATGAACAAGAATGACGTCGTATAATAGAAAGTATCACACAATTATTATAATAAAGATTTTGTGATCATAAGCAAAACCTTTTGCCCGATGCACTTCACAAACTTTAACAATGTTCAGACAAAAATTACATAATAAAAAAAATAAAAAATGTTTTATTTATAAAATAACTTGTGAAGCTTGAAGATGATTTATTTAATTAATTTAAAAGATATAGGCAACTAAGTCAATATAATTTAGTACAATATACTTCAGCCAATAGCGTCGAGCCACGGGCGTAATAACTGAATTAACACGTACTTAATAAAAATCTCGTCAAGTGTGAACCGTTCACTCATATGGGTTCTGCCAATAGCTGAGTATTCATCCTAATGTATTTCAATATACACAAACACTTTCTAATTAGGGAATAGTTTTATATTATCTGCTTTTAAAATAAGTATTAAAATAGTGGAGGTCCAAGCGCAAAATGTTGCTCTAGCCCGGATGAAAATAAAGAACGAGGTAGTTTTCAGTCAGTAACATTTATTTAGTTATATATTAATTTATTGTGTATTTATGCACATCACACACACATACAGTAAATACAAAAACAGAAGTATTGCATATTCCTATATAAAATCTCTTCCTGCATTCCTTCGAAAGGAAAAATATAAGAGACAAGACACTGTGATAAAATAACATTACAAAGAAAATATTCTGACTCTGACACACTCTGACGGTATGATCCACAAATTGTTGTTTCGAATCTGGATATCGAATGTTAGCAAATACATCCATTTAAAAAAAATATTGTGTATGTCACACAAGCTTTTCCTGGTTGACGATCATATTAATTACTGTGCTTAATCAGTGTGGGTAAAAGCGAAGTTCAAGCTTTCAAAGTCCGGGTCCATCTAGGCACATTTGATAGATGTTTTTTTCCATATAACGTTTTCAATATTACTCCAGTCACTAACACATGTATTTAAAAGTAATGACAAATAAATACAAGCCCCAAGCCACTAAATTATTAGTAAACACAAAACCATTCCACATACAACAACACGTAACCCTAATATGATTAAATGTACAATAAACCAATGCAGAGGAAATACAATAATTATTGACTCAGAATCCGGTAAATTATTCGTACATAAGTACCGATATTAACTTGCATGTATCAGTGTTCAAGTGCAATCTGTTTTGTAGAACGTCTAGCAAGAGGAGCACCATACAAGATGCGTTTCGTAAGTTCCCTTTTATAAACATTTTCCAAAATAGTTCGGAAAAGTTAAAAAGGCTTAATTACAAATTTCTTACTAACACAAAAATATGAGATCATAGGAAAAACTATCGAGCTATGTGTTAATTAATCTTTATATAATAATCACATCACTTTATACAATAGTCTTATCCTGGTTGTTACCTACTTCTGATTTGAAAATAGCAATAATAGTAGTAACTGCACTCTAATTGGTTACTTACTTACCGCAACTTTGCTAGAAGGAATTGAAAGAGCGTGGTGTGTTTTTAAGTTATTTATTATTTGTATGGCACATATATCCTTATAAATATAATACGTAGATTAAATGAAAACATGTGGTATAGTGTCATGTAATTGTTCAATTTAACAATATAGTCCCATCAATTTTATTACTATTAATCAAATATCTCTATTCCAGATACTTCTACTGGCGTTAGTAGCAGTGACACTAGCGGAGGAGGTCGCGAAGGAATCAGACCCAAGCCCAGAGCTTAAACCTGAAGAGTCCGCGCAACCCATCCGAGTGCACGAAGATGAACATCATGATCATTACCATGACGGCTTAGACCTGATTCGAAGCCGTGCTGAACGCTTGCACTTGCCTTATGACGACCATCATCATCATCACAGCCCTGGACCAAGAGGTCCAGTGAAGGTGGACTACAAAGAAGATGACCATTCAATCCCTGTAGTTCTACGTACATCTCACGTACACCCAATCCATGTAAGATTAAATAGAATAACTATAAAGTACTTGATTATATCAAATGTGTTATGAAAAACTACATTATACATTTTTACTTTGCAGAGTACACCGAACATCGGACTTCAAAACAAGTAAGTGTTGTTAAAATTTGATGATGCTTTAATTCAAAGAGACGAAGATTTCTGATAGAAGATTTCGGAAAAATAATTTAAATAGTATCAATTTGCACTTATAAACATTCTGTTAAAAGACATTCTAAATGGTTTTCCCTATTGCTTTCAGGATCATCCATGACGTGTACAGTCCAGACTACTACCAGCCTACCTGGATACTTGACTACAGATACCTCAAGTCGGGCGGTAGGGACTACACTCGAGGACCCGGCGGTCAGATCCTCATTCTGCCTAAAGATGTCAAGAGCAAGGAGCATAAGGAGTTTCCTGACTACGATCATTTGATCGAACACCTGCGCCTCAGTCGCTTGTCAGAACACTCGAAGTACGGCAAACATGGTTATGGATATGGCCACGACGAGGGTCACCATTACGGCTACCATGATGATGGCCATAGGAACCATGGCCATGGCCACGGCCACGCCCACGCCCATCATCACAACCCATGGAGATCGGATATCTACCACTAAAAACTCCTGGTAGCATCTTGGAACCAACTACTGTTCATAATTGGAGTCTTCCCATCATTTTGTTGAGCTATTTATTACTTTATTTTTTGTTTCGATGTTCTTTTTTAAAGAGAACAGCTTGTACTTCCTTTATTACAGATAACATGTGTTTACCGACACCTTGTATCCAGTCAATTTATTATAAAATCAATAAACTTAATTATGAACTTTTATCAATCTGTTAATAGTATTGTTTGAAATAGATAAAATAATAAAAATGGCTATCTTCTTTACCACTCAATATTTTGTTGTAAAATTATTTCCAAACTATATTCTGGTATCTTCAAGGACGTTCATTAAAATAATATATAATATAATGTCAATAATATTTTTACAAAGACGTGCGACGGTTAGGTAATATATAAAAATAATTTTGACTTTGTGTATATACAAAATAATTATGAATTACCTAACCTCACCCAACACAAAAACTGTTGAAATAAAAAAAAATTTGCAAATCGATCCAGGCGCCATCGAGTAGGTAATCGGTGTACCTACACACATAAAAAAAAAATACGCGTCGAATTGAGAACCTCCTCCTTTTTTGAAATCGGTTAAAAATTAGTACCGACATTATTGGTATCGGCTTTTGACTTTAAGCAAATAGATTAGAAAATATAGATTATTGAAAATTTTGAAAAAGAAAAATACAGGATAATTTTCTCTTCTGGTCATTTCGGGCGTGATGTCATTGCCGAGTCAATTGTTTTTTTTTTTATGTGATTGGTCAGCTACCATATATTACCTGATGGTAATCGGTGGAAGTAGCCGCCCATGGATACACACAACATCAGAGAAGTTGCGAGTGCGTTTCCAGCCTTTTAGGAATTAAGGTTTTATAAGCGGTTAAGGATTCGGAAGGATTGGGAGAGGGGAAGAGTGATTGAGCCTTTAGTAATCTCACCCGCGGGCCGAAACACAACTGTAGTTGTTACACGTTAAAATTTTTAAACTGAAGTTGTATTTAGGAGATAAAAGACGTAAATCGTACAAAATACATTTTATCATGTAACCCGGTGACAGAAAAGTACAATGTCACCACTACATATGTTCACCGAATACATAGGTCACCGCTCTGGATATCGTAAGAGTCGACCAATAGACTCTATAACTAAGATCGCTCTTGCTCTCTTTGATAAACTTCTTAATCTGCAATATACAAACAGACTTATGGGCTGGCTCGATTGGAGAGTCACAGATACTCACTGAAAATCGATATAAAACAACCACCGTGTTGTATTTTGCCATTTAACCTAGATTAGAAAATCAAATCCTCCTAAATGCTTAACTTAACGTAACGTAGTCTGGAATTACGACTAGTGTATGACAATACACCTATCCCTGTAACGTGGGACTCGTTAGATAACTTGACAAAAGTTGGGTGTTGCATACATTATGTGCGTGCCTTCACACCATGAACAGTGTAAGTCTATAACTGCCCACAGTTTAGCTAAGGCCTCTTTTTAGACGGAAAAGGTTTGAGCATTAATCACTACACTTGTTCAAAGCGTATCGGTGATTTCGGACTTTTAGGAATTATAAAGTCCAGGTTTCTTCCTGATTTTTTCTTCACTGTTTGTCAGTGGTGTCTGAATAAACTAAGAAAGTACATAAGTACATAAAAAAGCATTGGTATGGCATGAGAAGCGAGAGATTTTATCATAAGGTATTTATCCCTTAAAATCAAAGTCAAAAACATTTATCTCAACTAAAACACAAAAAGGCACGCTTGAAAAGTTTAATAATTAAAAAATAGTTTGTCAATCTATTCGTAAAGCTGACGAGAAATTAGGTTCTAGACTTTACCTATGAGGTCTTAGTACAAAGTTAGCTTTCTATGCAAACTGAATGTAGATATAATCACACAAATTAATTCTTTAAAAGACCTGGGCGTCATTTTCGACCCTAAACTCACTTTTCATGATTACATCATATCTACTGCTGAGGAGTCTTTCTTGGAGTTGTTTTAAGGAATAATCAAGCTTCTCTTTGGAGCATTGGTTTGAAGCAAGCTTGAGTCTAGTGCGTGTGTATGGAATCCTTTTGAGAAGAATGATGTGTTAGCGTTAGAGAAAGTACAAAAAAAGCATTCCTCTGTTACCTTTACAAGCACGTACGGGGTTTATGCTAATTTGTATGCACCAATTTTTTGCAAGGATGCTTGAATTTCAACTCCGTTGAAATACGACGTCTGTGCGATCAGATGAGTGAAGTCTTTAAAATACTTAATGATCGTGATCTACACAATGAGATCTGCAATGTGTTTGTCCCAGGCAATTACTGTCTTGCCAGAGAGCATCGACTGTGGGCTGTTCCGACCAGCCGAACTATTGCTCACACCAAGTCGCCTATTCCTAGACATTACCAGCTATTAACGCTCTCCTGAATTCAACCACTGATCTCGATATTTTGTGGATGAATGAAAGTCGATACTGTCTGAGTGTTTGATGTTTTGTGAGAAGAAGACATAACTGAATTGAATTACTTGTGCGTTTAATGAATTGAATGCCTTGTTTTTTTTATATTTGTCTCTGTATTTGTGTTTGTCTGTCTTTTTTCTTTGTCTCTATGTTTAAATATGGCAATTACATTTGTAGTTATATTTGAATATATAAAAATTAATTAATTTTTACAAGACCATAAAACATCAATGTACCTCCAAAAAATCTTTGTTTTACCGACTGAGAAACTTATAAACAAGAAACATCCAAAATGGAAAGTTACCGTTCAAAAATGTCCCTCATTTTAAATTGTAACGGTAATCGGAAATATAAATTGAAAACTAAGAAAGCATATTCTGAAGTACTGAATGGTGATGGGTCACGAATAAACAATATTATAAGATCAGCTCACTAAAATTGAGCATTAATCACCACGCTTGCTCAAGCCGGATTGATGATTTTTTACTTATAATTTGAAAATACTAATTGTGGTTTTCTCAAGATGTCTCGTAATTAATTTACCGTACGCGAATCGTAGTTAAAACTCGCCAAAAGGCATTTTGGTACTTGCCAGGTTTCGAGCCCGCACCCTCATTCATGAGAAGCGGGCGCCTGGTGGCCACCACGGCGGTTATCTAACAAATTTTAAACAAATTACCATCTACGAGTGCTAACCACGGACAACACGCAGTTTTACTTAAAACCCATTCATAAAATTATATTCAGCAGGTAATTAATAAAAAATTAACATGATTGACTAAACTGATTAATTGAGAGCAATTAATTGAAGTTAATGAAGAATGACGTCTGTCTTGCACTGTTAATTTAAGCAAAGAAACTTTGTTGCTGAACCACGGCTTTATAAGAAGCGATTAGAAAAATCTCATTTGTGCTTGTGACGTTTTTCCTTCCTCGCTTGCGTGCTAATTATCTACACTTTGTTTATAATTACTGGCGTGTTGTATGGACGGATTAGCCAATTAATAAGTTCAATAGATCGTAGCGCCCTTCATATACGCAAAAGAAACTTCGGTTTCACGCATTATACTCGATTATTTTTCAAATAATTGCCAAGAATCCAACGTAATGTCGTTGTAATTGAATCGCACCCCCAAATCGACACTCGAGCTCTGAATATAAGGTGGACGAATCGTGATTTTTACATAGTTGAAGTCCAGCTAACAAGAAAACATCACAAAAAATGTTTTTACAAGTAAGTTATTCGTCTGCTTAATTCTTTGAAATAAAATAAATTAATTATTTTTACATTTTGTTTATTCATTGCAGTTGATTAATTGTGCCAATTAAAATTTCAATAATTGGAATTGTAATTTATTAAAACAAATATCATTCATATTTCGCCAATAATTCAGTTGTCTGTCTATAAATCATATTCAAGTGTTGAAATGATAACAATTGTATTCCTATATCGGATTACAGTATTTAAAAGTAACATTCTCGGAAGGATGGTTTACATACTTGAGTTGTTGCATTAACATAAATGAATATTCCTTTTGAATCGTACAAGCATTGTAACGTTGTTTTCTGTCAGGTGGCCGCCCTTTGTCTGCTAGCTGTGAGTGCGCATGCGCATTCAGCAGCGGTGTCCCACCAATCGCGTGTCGATCATGTGCATGGACACGGTCACGACGTCCACCACGACCACAAGATCCATCACCCGATCCACCACGTCCATGAACACCACGGCCACCACGACGGACATCACGGACACCACGAGGTTCACCACGGACACCACAATGTACACCATGAACACCACGACGACCACCACCACTGGGATCACGTAAGTACTTAGTTTCGTTGCTGTTATATGAACACGAATCTTCTATATTCTAAATCCGTTACTATTCCTCATTTGAACTTGTTAACAGGTACTAAATAATAAAATTAAATTCACATTAATTGTGAATTAAGATCTATTTTTTCACTTTAATTCTCATTAAAAACAATTTAAAATTTAAAATAAATATAAGTTTTTCTAAGATCTAAAACTGAACTGGAATATTTTTGACGACGACATAACTGTCTCAACTGTCTTTTTTATCGTCGTTAACCGCCATGTAGGTCACCGGTGCCCAACGGTAGCGGAGGATTTGCCTTCAATAGTTTTTTGTTGGTAGTAAAAGGCTGAACACACTTTGAAATAATGGTTCTCCATCCAGGAACACCACCACCCAGCCTACAAGTTCGAATACTCCGTGAAGGACCACCACACGGGTGACCACAAGTCTGCCAACGAGCACCGCGACGGTGGCCACGTGAGCGGCTCATACTCGCTCGTTGAACCCGACGGCAACGTGCGCACTGTTCATTACACCGCTGATGACCACCACGGGTACGTACTCAGTATACCAAGTGTTTAAAGGTTCATTCAGGAGTTATGTGAAAATATTCGACTACACTCATAAGTGTGTTTTACACTCTTGGTAACACTAGCATATTTTTTTACACGTGAAAATAGTACGATTATTTTTTCTTTTGTAAGAGACGTGGATTTCTTTGACACATCTTATTTTAATATTTTTTTATATCATAAGGTTAAGGCAATCAAACAGACGGATTACCTGATGGTAAGCAATCAGCGCCACTAGCACACTCATAGGAATTACTAGAAACACGTTGTCGGCCTCTTGTGGATTATAAGAGATTTAAGTATAGGGGATTTGAGGATTAAGAATGGGGGGGAAGAATTGGGCCTCCGGTAACCTCACTTTCACTTCGAAACATAACGTAAATGTTAATTCGCGCCAATTTTTCGCGCCGCTGTGGAATCCATTTCGATCTAGCCGACCCATTTTGCCGAAGCATGGTTCTCCCTCAGTAAAAAAATTATAATTAGCTTTATACTTACTTCACTTTTAAAACCAAGATATAGAAGGCATCCTTCGAAGCAACATTTCAATGCACGCATGTTTAAACGAAGACAATTCTTTTAATAAATCTGTACTCATTTGTCTTTATTACTTACAGTTTCAGAGCCGATGTACACCACAAGACGGCTCACCACCACATCATCCCCCACCACCATCATGGCCATCATCATGATCATCATGGTCATCATTAATCTGGACTGTCCCACTCATACGAACTCTTCGATATCGACTAAATGTAATCGCCATTTATCATTAAGTTTCTTGCAAAGAACGCCAGCGCTGACGAATAAAAAACTATGTATGTACAAAATATCGACTTTTATTCATTGTTTAGTAGAAATTATAAAATGAAACATATAAAAGGATTATCACATAAAAAATATTATAACAACAATTCCGAGCTTCGTTAATCTTGTATCGTAAACACATTCCACGTATCAGTAAATTAATTAATAACCATTGGTACACTTATCAAATCTGAGCATTCTCAGTGTCAAGTTAATAAGATTTATCGGAACTTCCATGTACGACGCTGAAATCAACACCTGAGTTATAAGAATTCGTTTTCCCAGGACGTCTCGGTGCATTGCCCTGGCCAGGGTATATGCCTCTTTCAGAAGTATACCCATGATTAGGTTCGTCGTAAGTATCTCGGCTAGAAGTTGACGACTCATGTTTGTACCCAGCACTGAGATGAGAATGCTTGTTCGCTTCATTCCTCCTCACGACTGCATTAAATCTAGAAAAAAATTATATAAAGTAACAATAATAATAAACAGTAAACAAGTTTCAAAACAATTATTCGTACGTACAAATTGTAGAACTCATAAATTATTATTAATTTATAAGTATAAATTCATGTAAGCAATTTAACTTAAAATTTTACAACGTAGTTTTTCCCAATTAAATTTTACAAGTGATTCATTATCACAGTTAACACAACTGTAAACATGAACTTAATTGGCGAAAAAAGGAAAATTACACATTCAACATTATAGGGTCAGTACTGTGGTCAGTACAATGCGGTAGTCCAACTAGTCAAATTCAATACTTTTATCCAAATGTCAAAAACGATACTATTGCGTCAAATAGTACTTACATATTTTCTTAATAATCAGCAAAAAAAATATCTAAAACTTGGTGTATCGATTGATCGATGAATAAAATTATAGTTATTTTTCAATATTTTATTATATTCAAACGTCGAATGAATTTATTTTTGACTTAGGAAACTACCCAATTGTAATGATTTTTCAAAACATTTTAAATTCGAATGCCGTTCAAATACTCTTAATTCACGACATCTGTTGATGAAATTACCGATAAAAGTACAGATACTTAATTAAAACTTTCTTTAGTGTAGATAAGGAGCATAACAAACATAAGTATAATCACAGTATAATAATATACATATGTATTTCCTCTATATCTCACTGTTATACATTATATTGTATATTCACATCCTTTAACATACTCACCCATGCACTGCATCAGCTGTATACTCAACAGTCCGCAAGGCTCCATCAGGTTCGTACAACGTGTACACCCCTCGGACTTTGTCACCGTCCCGACTCTCCCAGTGACTCTTTCTGTCTCCCGTCTGATGATCTGACACTTCATACTTGTACTCGTACTTTGCCTGAAATGGAATTTAAAGAAAATAGTAATAAGATTTAACTAGTATGAAGTACTAGTGGTTGGGGCCCACTCTGTCAAGATAAGTCTATAAAAATAAAATGATAATAATGTTTCCCAAATAATTCGCCTTTTTCATGACATATTAAGCTTATTAACAGAAAAGCTAAATATCATATTTCATGAATGTGACTTCCAATAAAAAACTGACTGATCCCTTCATGTTGAACGACCCTCTCAAAACTCTTTAAAATCCTTAAGCACATTCCTAACCTTACAGCCGTTTGAAATGCAACATTTCAAATTTTTGTTCAGTAACCACTTTTTACTAATGGGGTTAATGCAAGCAACGATTTTAAGTTTAGAAACTCTTTGTTTCCAATTAGACAACCTGCGATGCAACATGTTTCGGTTGATTTATGAAACTAACTCAAAACCAGTATTTATAATTTGATTTAAAACTTACATGACTAGCACTGCTGCTTGGAATAACAGGAGATGGCGCTAGAAGCATAAAAGCAATATTACACAAAAACTTGTAATGTAAAATTAAAATAGATAATGTTTTTTGTTTATTAAAATTATTTTAATAGGTTCATAGTATTAAGTACTATGTAGAACTTATTATAGTAGTATGTCCTTACCGGTGACTGGTGCAACCGGAGCCGCCTGAAGCTGATGAAACACAATACTCTGTGAAGACGTCGCGTGCTGCAACATCGCGACAGGCGTCCCACTCGCTAACAACCAACCATTCACCAACAACACCAACTAGAATAAAAATATCAGTTAAAAGCAAATAAAAGCAAAGAAAACATAACATTATTAGGACGTAATTTATAGATAACACGCTTTTGAATCGCTCTAGATTTACCAAGAATTGAAACATAAAACAACCTAAGTAATAAACTAAATCAATTGAGAAATAACAAAAATGTTGTCCACCTGCCTTATAATAAATCAAATTCATAACGTAGAGCCGCTATCAAAGACGTAAATAAAGTAAGGCAGTGGATTGAAGGATCTCGCCTAGTCGCATTTTATAGGGTCATCTCATCTGATAAGGGCTATGGAACAATGTGCCTGTCGGCGGATGTATGCATCGACAGAAGTCCTTGTCAATTAAAATACTTGATAGCACTGTATGCAAACGTAAATGAGATATGTAGTAAAACATTAGTATTCTTGTTTGATTGTAATTTGATACTCGTGTTTTGATTTTTTGCTGTCTGTTTTGTTGTGATTGCAGTAGTTATGTGTATACTTCTACGCAAGGATTTTATTTGTACTGACACTTACTTTAGGTCGTTACAAAATAGGTAAATAGATACGTTAATACTGCCTTTTGTTGTATTATTGAAACTAACTTAAATGCACGATTAGCGCAGAGACTCGGCAACGTCTCGCGTTTCGATTTCGATTCCCCCGCAGAACCCCCGCAGAACAACTTTTTGTGTAATCCAGAATTTGTCGTATGTTTCTACGGGTCTAGATGGTCATGTGAGTGCGTTATACAACGAACGATGGAAAATCCTAGTGGAGGGTAACGTTTTTATAGGTAAAAGTCTTTAATAGAATATTTTTATTTTTTTTGTTTTGCTACTTATACATAAAAAATAGGACATATCTATTAATTAATTGCTCATTGAATCATATTTTCTTACTACTTATTATATGCATAAGTACCTTTATTATGATAAAGGAATAAATAGTTAACATAGATAGATACCCACATAACTATTATACATATACTTTGTTACTATGTTACAAATAGTAACAACCATCAATTTATTCATTTATTTAAGACCATGGACTATTAAACGAATTAAAAAACCTTTTTTCAAACTACACTAAATATGAAACAGTAGCTACATCTATCGTAAGTTCATAATACTAACAAACCGACCTCAATATGATCTACGTTGAGAATACATTCACTCTGAACTGTTTTACTTCAACAAGACTATACTTTCATATAAATACAGTTGTTGAATATGATTTTCGCTAGGGGGCGCGGGCGTCTTAATAAAGAACAGCGTTTACCTCCCAATTTTTAAACAAACGGTACCTTTAAATATAAATAAAATGCAAAGTTTTGGAGTGTTGGGACATGAATTTTAAAACCTCAGATGGTATAGTACATATAATATGATTTAAAATAAAAAAACCTATTTCAATTGCTAAGCGATCAAAGCTTGCTAGATGTATATAATGTAGATATATGTTCCATTTAGAATGATGGCAGCCTCAGAATATATATTTCACTGCCGGTTCTTCCATTCTACAGTTGACATAAGGGTCAAGTAAACGATAACATAACAGAAAACAGTCATCTCTAATAAACCTCATCCTTTAAGACTACGATCTCCAACCCAAGACAATCATGCCCTCTAGTGTATAAACATATCGGTCATAATCAATTCAATTAGTGGAGTCCCACGGCCTTATAATGGAATGAATAAAAGGTTTAGCAAAACAGTAAGTACTGCGTCACATAACTAACATTATATGACAAAAGCAATAAAATAAATTCACAACACTAAAACACTAATACGTTTGAAATTGTTAAGTAGGCAGTATGTTGCAGAAGTTTATGTTTTAAGGTGGGTTCATGAATGCTGCTACATATCTCAAAGCATAATCTATGCGTGCAATGGATATGTAAATTCTTATGTGCAGTAAAGCTTTACGAAATGTATGTAAGATCAGCTAAAAGACTTTCCTTATTCATCTTGTAAGTACCTTCAAAGTGAATAGTGATACTGTCATATTTATTATGCTTGGAAGTATGGGTATGTAAAAAGTCTAGTTATATCTAATAAAACGGAAGAAAGGAGTATCAATCAAATTCTTGCGTTAATTTTCATGTCACATTTATAATCAGTAGCTATAAATCACACGCCAAATTTGCTTAGAAGCTTTGCTCCTTTGCCCATCTATCCCATAAAGAATAATAAGAAAAATTAAAACAATATTGTTTAAGTTTGTTTCGGCACATAATCAAGTCCAATTTCTAACATGATGCCCTTTTTGTCTTTATATTTTTAGTCCATTTCAAGATAAATGCAATTTCAATTTTGAAGGCGTTTTTAACGTCAATTTTCCGTTGCCGTAATCGTGATTACAAACCCTGTTTTTCAATTCAAGTTCGGAATTCCTCGTGCAAAACTTCGTGATCGTTTCAGAATAATCAAAATCAAGTTCTATAAACTTTTACATATAAATCAAGATAGAAATGAATAAAAGGAAACATAAATCTAATTATGAAAGCATCTAAAGTGTCACTGTAGGTGTTAACTGGCTCGTTCATTACTGCTATCCGGATTGGTCTAAATTGAATTATATTATGTCTCGTACAATCACTACTTGCGACACCGAAAAAAAAGAATGTGGATGAAATTGCAAATCGACAAATACGTGGGATTTTAAAATCAGATTATCTGTTCACTTATGCGGGCACCTCATTTTGTAGCCATTTAAGTGACTTGCAATTATTATTAGGCTCTGAATCATGAGAATAAAAAACACATTTAAAAGAACATTCCTTTCTTTGTAAACTGCTTTTATTCTTTATATTCAAGCAGCAAGGATGCAATAAAATCTTTCTCAAGAACCATTGCACGGTACAATGAAAATCATATCAGTACGCCTTTAATTCTCGATGAGGTAGGTAGAAGACTGCCTTGTATACACACCCACTTTACGATTATTATGAGATCCATACCGAGTTCATTGCTACACAGAGCGGAACAGTTCATCTACTGTAATGTTCTGTATTTTAAATCTCAAATAATAGTGACTATACTATACGTAGGTATATATATTTTTCACTTGACCCCGGGTTACAAATGGCCTGTGCTCGTGCTGTGACCAATAAAATAATTTAATGTTTTAAAATTAATCTCAAATACTCTAATTACACAACACTTAATACATATACAATCCTTTTATTATGACAGCATATAAATTGTATCAGATTGACTTAATTAAATACAATTGATGTAATATTAATTCGGACTTACATACATCAATTAAAGATATCATGAAATGAAGAAACGTAACAGCTCTTCAAATACCGGTTTGGTCTGATCAATCCTAACGAGGAATATGTAAAATATTATTGTCCAATAATTGCAAACATACCGACAGTTGGTGACGCAACGGAGTCGACCAATTAAATCTAGATCAGCTAGGCAATCGAGCCAATCTACCGGCCGCTCATAAATGTTAGTCCTTTCCGTCAGGTCATTAATTTCTTTGACACTGATATTCGTGGCGCTTAAAATTATTACGTGAGTTGTGGCTTTATAACATATGTACATATATGTTTTGTCCATTTTATAATTTTGGTGTTCTTTGTCAAAATTTGAATAAAATTTCTCTACTTTATTGTAGGTACGAGTTCCAAGATATTTCTCGGAGTTTGTTTTAATACTACAGACCCTAAGGGTAATCCGATGGAGTTAAATGCGACTTACTTTAACGACTAAATTTGAAACACCTTTCGAGTAGGTTAACAATCCCGAACCAATTGTAACTAATTTGATCTCTCTTCACTGATATAATGACGACGGTGACATACTCCTAAAAACCATCCGGAGAGCTCACTCAAAGTCCAAAAATGTACAGCAAGTAAGCTATTTCTTTCATCATTGGTTTGTAGTGGCTTGATTGGACAAGCGAAATTCCATCTATAATAGTAGTAGTAAATTGGGACTAGTTTACATTTGAAACTCGTATGTTTGTTACAAATATGTTCAAGAACCCACCTGTAACGTTGGACAACTTCGCAATACATTTGATTGCTACACTTTCACCAATGTTAGGTACCTACCTACTTACTAAACTGAATATCTACTACCCCAATATATAATTCACGTCATCATAATTCATGTGGTCATGTAACAAATAACAACAGCTAGGTTCACATAAGGTCGGTCGACAGATTTATCGTACCAGTACGCATGTATCTACATATCTGAAACTAATATGATTCGCAGAAATTACTCAGGCAATAAAATTGCTAAGGAGATGATTCAGGGATTCTTATTATTATGTTTCAATTTCTTTTTAATACTGTTAGCACAGGTTAAAATGACATTTATCATCTATGTAATAGGATTCTCCAATTCTGGAATTATTATCTTAAGTTTTATAGGTAATACATGTCTACCTCCTTAGTGAATGACTCGTAAAATAATGTTATTACGTCACGGCGAATATAAACACTTGGCCTAATCTGTGCCAGCCCTAACATGGCACAGATAATGAAAATGAAATGCGATAAATATGACAGACCTTGTCACCTAACCGGATAAGCTATTATACAATAGCAATGATTTCTTTAATCCTGTATCTCATTGTACCATACCATTGCCGTAGAACGCTCCGCACAATGGCTAATGTTTATTATCACCTGTATTTATCTTAGAACTAGAATGGATATCTGTTGACGAAAGTATTGAAGGTAAGATTAGCAATGGCTGTGGGATTGGCGGATTAGATTCTCTTTGGTCACAACAGATAAGTCAGATTTGTTTTGAAATGTATACGGATTGGGTCGGAGAAACAAAGAGGGACAAACATTAGGACTAGAACTGAAATGTTTTATAATTATTTTTAATTATCAAGCACTTAAATTTAAGTACCTATCCTATATACACCAACGAACTTATTGCGGCAAGTGACTTTTTCCTGGTTTTTAATACTTTCTTACTTTT